ATGGGGCCAGTGTAATGGTCTAAGTAAAACGACTTATTAATCCAATTCAGCAACTGTGCTATGCTCATGGTGTTCAGTTAGGCATAGTCGATGTAATCTACAAAAATAAACGTTCCAATGATAAACCTGGAAAAAGTACCAGCCACGTAAGCTCAGGTATACCACAAGCAGACGAGGAAGAGTATATGACGATTTTGACGGGTTCGCAGAATTTGATAGTCTCATCAAAAAAATAAGAAAATTGGTTAAGCTCTCTAGAAAATCGCCAACCAAGAACGACACTCTTCAAAAATATAAGATCGATGAATTTGGCAAAAACAGACAATTGATATTGGACTGCAAAATACGCTGGTCTAGTCTTACTGTAATGATTACGTCGTTCAATAAAGTGAAAATGTGTATCAGCAAAGCCTTGATTGATTGCAACCTTGGAACAAATCCAAATTATACGTTCTCATCCCGGTCCCTCTACTTCTAGAAATGCATATGTGGTTGCAGACTCAGACTAAAATAACGATGATGATAATCTTCCCTTATCTTCAATATCCGGTATGGCAAAAACCAAAGAGAATGAGACGATGAGTGAGCCCCTATCTCTTGATAAAGAATTAGCAATTGCGTTGAAAGCCCAACCACGAAAACGTTCTTCATAATATGCTGCTGGTTAATACATTGATACTATGCTTAGAAATGAATTGAACCTATTTGAGTCTGGTGGTATGAAAGGACAATATCTTCAGTTTGTTCACCAATACCTTTTATCTGTGGTACCGACTAGCGTTGAAGCAGAACAGGCATTTTCTTCTGCTGCTTATCTGGCACGAAACATCCGAAATCAATTAGCTGATGAGACTCTTGACATATTGTGTTTTTTGAGAAGCTTAATTGAGAATAATGTGTAATGTGCCCTATAAGGTCTGTTCTCAGAAGTGTCTCTGACAATTTGCAAACTCTCAAAAAGCATTTCCCATAGATGTTTTCAAACCCGTCGTTTCAAGATAAATCGATAACGCAATTATTTCTGACAGTTTGCAAACTGTCAGAGACTCTTATGAGTATAGTCCTATAATTTCTTCAATAAATTAACAAGTATATGTAGGTACTTATAAATCGTTCCATTCGCTTGCCCTTATTCCGTTAATTTATAAAATTGTGATAGAAATAAACATCATAAAATCATTATTTACTAAATGGGTTTTCTAACATTATCGAGATCTCAGCCATCTATTCATCAATATGTTGTTCAATATACTAACCTGACTCACTCAAATGTGAGTTTTTCTGATTAGTTTGAAAACTACATGTTTCAGGTGAATGTTTTACTTGAACAGTTCAACAGTATATTGGTGAGTAGATGGCTGCGGAATTCGCTGCGCTCGTCCCGCAGAGGTCCACCCATAAGTTCCGCAATAATCCACTTATTTGTACTTGAACAATAACTTATTATATAAAGTCTAAATTTGTAAGATTATGATTATTCACTTTTTATCAATTCGCCTTTCAACATGAATTAGTAATGTTACTTTATCAAACTAGTAACATAATGTGACAAGTTATTCAAGTACAAATGAGTGAATTGTTGCGGAACTTATGGGTGGACCTCTGCGGAACGAGCGCAGCGAATTCCGCAGCAATCTATTCATCAATATATTGTTTAATTAAGATATTAACCTGACTCGATCAAATGTGAGTTATTCTGATTAGTTTAAAAACTACATGTTTCAGGTGAATGTCTTACTTGAAAGGTTCAACAGTATATTGGTGAGTAGATGGCTGCGGAACTCACTGCGCTCGTCCCGCAGAGGTCCACCCATAAGTTCCGCAACAATCCACTTATTTGTACTTGAAATATAACTTATTATATAAAGTCAGAATTTGTAAGATTATCCACTTTTTGTCAATTCGCCTTTCAACAGGAATTAGTAATGTTACTTTACTAAACTAGTAATATATTGTGACAAGTTATTCAACTACAAACGAGTGGCTTGTTGCGGAACTTATAGGTGGACCCAGCCATCTATTTACCAATATATTGTTCAAGTACAATACTAACCTGATTCACTCAATTATAAATTTTTCTCATTAGTTCAAAAACTACATGTTTCAGGTGAAGGTTTTTTGAAAAGTTCAACAGAGTATTGGTGAGTAGATTGCTGCGGGACCAGCGCAGCGGGTTCCACCCATAAGTTCCGAAATAATCCATTTATTTGTACAGTGTGCTTTTTTATATATTGACTCTCCAGGTGGAGAGTCCAGGAGTAAAGGAGCAAAGTAAAGGAGGTAGGTACCTCCTTTGCCTTTACAGTTGAAAAAAGGTGTAAATATAAAAGTTGTACAGTTTTGGCTGAATTTTTAGAAACCATGGTCAGAAACAAAATTTGAATGTCAGAAATGTGAAATTTTGCATGCTTCCAGCTTTTTTCAAATTGGATGCCCTATATTCCATTCTATATTCTTGAAGAGCCCAATGCCCCGATTGCAAAAATATATAGTTTGTGTATATTTGATTGAACAGTCTTTCATATATTCAGCTCCAAAAATTGGAAAAATTTTCTACCTATATAGATGAAAGCTGCAGGTAAAATTTGAGGTACTTGGTTTCTTTGATAGAATTTTTAAAATTTTTAGAACCAAATATAGGGCATCCCATAGGTAGTGCATTATTCAATAGGAATATCTCATGTGTCTTAATCTTAATAAACTATTTCTCATAAGTAGTATTGTTGTTTGATTTGCTAATGCAAGTTTTCATAGTCTAATGCACAGTCTAATGATTTAACGATTTGAAAAAACGTTGTTAAAATAATTAATTGAGTATATCCTAATGGTTTACCCCTTTAACAAGGCAACTTATCTGTCTACTGATTTCTACTGATATTTAGACTGGTAATCTACTGACAAAACAAAATATGACCTGGCAACACTGTTGCCCACATATTTTTCAATAAGTTGAACGTTTATCCTAATCGACAAATGAATTGATCGACTGGAAATTACCGTTCTGTTCTAGATCAGTTCTCATGTCGGTTGGAACAGAGCTGATGTGTTTCAATAATGTATTATTTTCTTGAAGTTTAAAGCCCGATATTTCCAAAATGGGTGAATCAAAAGTAGTTAAACCATATATATTTCAAATCAGAAAAATTGACTCTTTTCAAATATGAAGTCATATATAGCGTGTTCCATCAGAAAATACTTACCATCTGTCAAAATTTGACATTTCTAAAAAAAAACGAAATAAGTTTTTAATATCGGATTCGAAAATTTCAGGTAAAACCCTAAAATTTTTGTATTTACAACTTTTTGATATCTCTTCCCATAACCCCTGTAGTGGGAGGGGGAAAGACCCTACAACGAGGTTTTTTATCTGGAGCGTTAGCACCACTCCCAACTTGTCTGGTATCGTGAAAATTTTCAAATATTTCCTCCACCCACCGTGCGTTAAAACAGTTCACCCTATCAACTAAATAGCAAAATATTTCAAAGGAGACCCATGTTGCCACAAGCGTGGGGCTAAGCAAATTGTAAGTGCCTAAATCTTTAAGATAGAAGACACACAGCTCGAGATCAAAAATGCCCATCTTTTCTTTAAAAAATACAAAAAATAACACGAATAGGGAGATTTAAAACAAACAGAACAATTTTTACCAAAAAATCAGGTACCTACACTACACCAAAGACTAGCAGCATAACTTTAACATTGAATACCAAAAAAGTTAACAAAAAAGACAGATAAAGACAAGACAAAAAGATGTCTCTTACAGATGTCTTTAATAAAGAAATTTTCAAAAAGAACATGATTTTTCTCTATATTAACCGAAATGAATTATTTGGAACGTTGAGGAAGAAGATTGGCAGGATGTTTTTAAGGTAAAGGTAGATCCATCTAATGTCAATCAACAGTGGAATGTTTTTATGAATACTCTTAAAATGATCTTTAATACAAGTGAGTTCGGTCAATCCTCCTCGAGCAGGGCCCGTATTCTCGTAACCGTGGAACAGCGTTCTCAAGAGACGATTGCCCTGTCTTAGTCGCCCATATTGTTATTTCCATAATGCTGACAAAAACAGAGCAATCTTTCTCTTGAGAACGCTATTCCACTGGTGTTCCCCGGTTACGAGAATACGGGCCCAGAAAGATGGCAACCCCAGGTGACCAGTTATGTAACTTCGAATGGAAGATCACGTCAGCTTCTGTCAACAATGTCATCTTTTAGCTCGCGGAGAATTACCCGAACTGACCTAAAATTTTACCGTGAAAATTATTTAAGCCAAACCAAAGCAGTAAAAAAACTCTATGCCTACTTGAAAAATAATCCAATTAAAATCTGTTACAGAAAAAGAACTTGTGTAATTTTAAATGGAAAATGGATAAATTTAAAAAAAATCTCGAAAACGACAAACGTTCGTGTAACCTCGAACAACACTAATTAACAGCGTTTTCCGGCCATGAGTTGGGCACCGGTGTAAAATTGTTGTTGGGGCAGAGGGTCGCCAGAAACAATACTGTTAATAAATCTTGATTTAAATTGCTGAACACATACAATTTTACACGCAAAGTTTTTAACAAGCTAATAAATACCATACAAGATACAAGGTGACAACTTGAAATCTTGCGACGGGTTTTTAGAACTCCCAAAGACCAAAATACATAAGCACCAAATTCAACGTTGGACTTAACGTTGAGGATATCCTAACCGTTTGGTATTGACTATTGACCAATCGAAAGGTACCTAGCGTTCCAGCAACGTTTAAATAATGCAAGGTACTTATACGTATTATCCATTCACAATCCGATGTCCTCAGTTACAGGTAGAATGTATCACCTTTCAATGCCATTTGATAGGGAAAGGTGATAAATTTACCTGTACCTGTGGACAGCGGACGACATCGGATTGTGAATAGGATATAGGAAAGTGAATAAGTACCAGCCTTTCAAGCTAAAACTAGTTAACCTTATGTAGGCTGACTTCACCTGCTGTCTAGTTTCATTGAAACGTCAAATAATCTTACGCAAAATTGTTTGTTATTAGAAATTTTTTTGAAAATGGCTCCAATGAAACGCAATGACGAAAAACTCAAGAAACCTGACTTCCACGTGGCCTTATTCAATAGAGCAAAATCGTTTAGCGGTGGTAATCGAGCTTCCATGACGAGGAGTCTACCGGAAAAGCATCGTAATTCACTTAGTAGATCTTCTCGAGAAAAATATGAAGATTTACTAATTTTCCAATTAGATCAACTGAAAAATGTATGTTCTAAAACTTCTAGAAAGCATCCTGAGCCTAACACACAAGCGAACTATTACATGCGAAGCCCTTATAGAAACAATTTTATTGGAAAGGCCCATGGAAATATATGCTGCAGTTACCCACCTAAACCTAGACATGACGATGTTATACAGTCCGTATACAATGTTGTTTCAGTAGCATTAGAATATGGCTGCGCCAATAATGTTTTGGAAAAACGTGGAAATTATTATTGTTTCAAAAGCATGCGCGATGAACCTGCCATTCCAAGAAGATACTGTCAGAATTGCTGCAGCGTAAACCAGTTCGGACCTCCGACCAATGGTCACCAACCAGGAATCTTTTATGACTGCATCCATAATCTGTGTCAAGAAAAGTCTGAGTGCAATTATGGAGATCGTGCAATTAATAATTTGGGTTTTCATAGATATGGGACTGAATTTTCAAGAAAACCAAGCAATGGATCAAATATGTAAGTTTTCCAATGTCCAGAACGCTCATGTGAATGAAATTGTTTGTGTTTATCCTTGCCATTGTAAATTGTGCAGTTATAAAGTACCATATTATAATAAATTTTATCGATTACAATCTTTGGAGCTTTTTTTTAAGAAATAATAATTGATCGGTGTTTTTGAGACTGCATCAAAAATAATTTATTGAGATGCCCTTGACAGCTTGACAGAACAAAAAACAGATTTTGAAAATAACAAAGTGAAACCAAGTTCTGAGCAGACTGGCTCTAGATTCTAAACTTCTCTGGAACCGACATGTAGAGAACACAAAAAACAAAGCAATCTCGACACTCATGGTCTGCAAAAACATTGCGGGTAAAACATGGGGTTGCAACCCATCAATCCTAAGATGACACAACTTACAGCTGTATGCAACATCCTCTTTTAACCTAATAGCGCTTTTTAAAACTGGTACCTTTAAAAATTAGTGTGGTTTAGAATACACATTTTTAAAAGTGACCAGTTTTAAAAAGCGCTTTTAAGTTAAATGAGGATGTTGCATACAGCTGTTAATGTTTAGAGGGGAGGAAAAATACAGCAAAAAACAGGTGCGAAGTCAGGTGACCATTGGCGTTCTAACGTAGGCGAGCCACCAGCTCACATACCTTTGGAGTATCCGGAGTATCGCATATAATAGTCGGATTGTAAGCATTTTATTAACAGAAGCTCCAGTTCTTGCTTTTTTCGGACCGTTATTACCTATTTAAATAAAAACTGATGTGTGAAAGGATAGATTGGTTTCCTGTTTGTTACAAAATGGCCACCCCAATAGCCTTTGCATCAAGAAGGAAAAACTATGCCCACATAGAAAAGGAATTGTGTTCAGATGTCAAAAATTTCACTATTTCATTTATGGTGTCGAAAGATATTCAAGATTCAAGTACGTTCCGATCATAAACTGCTAGAGATAATTTGCAAAAAGAGTTAGTTCCTCCAAGACTTCAACGCATGTTGCTTCAGCTACTCAGCTATGATCTCAAGGTCACTTATAAAGCAGAAAAGTATGTATACTTTTCTGTCAGATTTTGATTCACAGAAACGAAAATTTCTAAAGATTTAGAATATCATGTTCATTCTCTTACAAACTACTTGCCCATTACAAATGAAAAAAAAAAAGTTTCTTTAAAGAGAATAGTTATTTATGCAACAAGTGTGTAAAGTGATCCTTTTTACACGAATGTGAATTTTGACGCACGAGCCGAAGGCGAGTGCAACAATCACATGAGTGAAAAAATGTGCTTTACACACGTATTGCATACACATTTTTTTCTACTACCAATAAAATATGTGTTGAAAAATAAATTTAGACAAATACTTTACGCACTAATGCGTAAAGTATTTTCACTTTACGTACTAGTGCGTGAAGTAACTTACCAGAAAAATACTAAATTGACAGGGTAGACATCTGTCATCGACATTACTTTACGCACTAATGTGTGGAGTGAATTACTTTACGCACTAGTGCGTGAAGTGGAATTTTACATCTTCTGAATAGTGCGTAAAGTGAGTACTTTACGCACGGTAGTAGAAAAAACTTTTTAAGATCATCAAACATCAAACATCAAGTTTTCATAAATTTTGTTCAAACTGGGCCAAACAATAATAAAGTGCCAATTATTGCCAAGCAGTTTTATAAGCTTAAAAATCAGTTGGCAGTGTCAAACAATTTGTTATTTTTTGGCAACTACTTAGTTGTTCCTGAAAAACTCATGATATAGGGGAACCCGGGGCGTTATAACCATACCCTAGACTATACTCTATTATGTTTTGATAAATGCCAGTGCAAAAACAACTTTAGTCTAACGGAATTCATGCATGTCCATATTTGTGAATAAATTTTATATATTTAATGACAAAGTAAGTATTGTACATAAATAATAAGTCATTGTTATTATATTTTTCACGTAGTACATGATGTCAAGCATTAGTGGTGGTAGTGTTGATATTTTTCCTCAATGATATTGTTTTATATTTTTGAAAATATTTATAAACCAAATTCGGGGCAGAACGGATCGGGGCGGAATGGTCTAGGGTACCATTCTGCCCCTCATGAAATTAGGGGGCGGAATAGTCTAGGGTACCATTCTGCCCCGCATAAAATTAGCAAACAGTCATATGATTTTTTTCAATTATAAAAAGAGATTCACGCATGTCGTCTTTAATAGAATGCAGTCCACATGAATCAATAGCAGAATATAAATTGGCAATAAATAAAAAACCCAAAAATAAAAAAGTTATTCGCTCGAAGATTATGCAAAAGAATAATAAAAAAAAACAAAATACAAGGATTCCTGTAAACGTCGAAACAAGTTCTTCCAGCGAAAGTGAAAGTGATGATTCCCAATGCCTCTACTGTGGAGACTTTTACTCAAAATCTATAGAATCTTATTAGATATCATGCTCAATCTACAAAAAATGGACTCATAATACTTGCGCGGGTATCGATAGCGACGACGATGAGACTGTGCTTGTCTGCGAAATCTGTCAATAAGTTCAAAATTTCTATTAAATTGTGTATTTAATACTTGAGTGTTTCATTTGTTCCCAAAAATACGGTTATTCTGCCCCATAGTCGGGGCAGAATGGTCATTTTGACAATTTTTTTTTGAGCTTCAAAAACATTATTTTTCTATTCGTCTCAAACTTTTCTTGGATGTTATTTAAACAATAAAGCAGAAAATGTCCTAAGTTGGTTTCGAAATTTCAAAATCCCTTGAAGAAAAGGCCTCTTAAAGCTTAGGTATGCCGTTCTGCCCCGGGTTCCCCTACTTATAAAATTGCATGAAGGTCACCTTGGAAATTGAAAACGTAAAATAACGAGCACGAAAAATATTGTATTGGCCCTACCCTACATGAATCAGGACATTGAAAACTTTATTGAAACGTGAAAAGATTTCCAAGAAAAACATCAAAGAAAGATTAATGCCATATCCAATACCTACTCATCCGTGGGAACGTATTGGAGTAGAAAATTTTTCTTATGGTGAAAAATCTTATCTTGTGATGGACGTTTATTCTAATTGACTGCAACTCATTTCTCTAAGATATTTTGATTACTGACATTATCTTCATCACATCAAATGGCTCAGTTGAGAATGCGGTAGGAATTACTGAAAAAGGACGATGCACACTTTAAATGGGATTTTCAAAAATCCACGATTTCGATGAAATTTTAGTATGTTGTAGATCTCGATCTCCTGATCAAAAGTTCTCATGGGCCCAAGACGATCCTATGACTGGTTTCCGAAATACAGTGGCGGGTATTGGGCTACCCAAAAATTCTAGTAAAGTGAAATTATTTTACAAAAGGTAAACTTTGATGCAAAAAGTGATAAAATTAATTGACTCTTATTTTTATTGGCCATGTTACATCATGGGGTACTCAAAAAGTATTAATATAGGAGGTTATTTAAATATAGGTATATATTTTTTTTGAAACAGCAAAATCCAACTTTGATGAAAAAAAAATATTATTATATAGAAAACAGTACAAAATAACGACCAAATAAATAGTTTTATGAAAGTTTTAGGTTTGGTATTATAAAACACGGAACCGATGATTGAGTTTCAATCTTCGGTTGAATCCTATCAATTTGCATGGAGTCAATCGAAGGATGAAACTCAACCATCGGTTCAGTGTTTAATAATACCGGCCATTAGACTATTATCACACTAATGGTAATAAATATAGTAAAAAAAAAACATAACAAAATAATAAATATACCTACTTACTGAACATTTCAAATTATATCTGGCAAAACTTAAGATTTTATATAATGTCTGGCAAGACGTCCTCAACAGACTCCAAAATATCATTGCTAGGATATTTGTGGATTGAACGCGAGCCTCCAAAGTTAAACGATTCTGAATCTCCTCATGACAAACTATACATTTATTGAAATGCGTGAAAAGAACGTTCAAAACTGTTGGATCAGGATCTGCTTGGTACATTTCGATTTCTTGGTTTATACTGCGCAAACAGTACATGCAAAATCTAAAAAAAAACACAAAGAGTAAATGAAAAATAGGTACCCATTCTAGTCAATCGTTGTTCAAATATTTCATATTTACACTTTACACATCTCAACTAAATTATCTACCTTGTAACATTATCTGTCAGATTTTCATCGGGAAACTGAAGCTCATTCCTGCGTTTTATTCCAATTCTTCTAAGATCTGCGTTTTCTCGAAAAATTACAGTTTGAAAATGCCTAAAACTCTCATTGCAAACAAAACAATTAAATCTTTGTCGAAAAGCCATTTTCGAAAAAGTCAAAAAAACTGAATTACTATGGAAAGAAAGTTCGTTCAATTTTGTGAAATACCGAGTCAACTTTGATTTCGTGGTAGGTATACTAAAACGCTAAAACTCAGTTCTCATAACTGCGGAAAGCGATTTCAATTTTTCGCGGAACTTTTGTCATTAGTATCAGTATTTGATAGGTTGGACCAGTAACAGATCTTCCGCATAAAAATAAAATCACTTTCCAAGGTTATGAGGACACAGCTTAATTACAAAAACTAATATTTGATGGTTACATTTTAGGATCCAGACCATACAAAACTTTTTCCAAAGTTCTGCGTGGTCTAAGACCATCAAATGGTATTTGAAAGTAGGTATCGAAAATTGGTAGGTATAACGAAAAGTTAATCGGAATTCCCCAAATATGCAATGAAGTTCCTTGCAAAATAACAAAACCTGATTTTCCAGCATAAGCGTTCAAACTAAACGTTTTTATTATTTTATTTAAGTTGAGTTGAACTTAAGCGTCCGATTTTTGTATAAAATGTATAAACAGAAGAATTTGAGTACCCCTGACGATAGAAGCTGTCTCGTGACAGCCTACATGGCCAATAAGGATATTACTCAATTAATTTTATCACTTTTTGCATCAAAGTTTACCTTTTGTAAAATAATTTTACTTTATTCGAATTTTCGGGTAGCCCCACACCCGCCACTGTATTTCGGAAACCAGTCATAGGATCGTCTTGGGCTCATGAGAACTTTTGATCAGGAGATCGAGATCTACAACATACTAAAATTTCATCAAAATCGTGGATTTTTGAAAATCCCATTTAAAGTGTGCATGGTCCTTTGTTAAAAATCCTTGGTATCCAAGATAATATATTTATAAGCTTGTTACAATGCAGAAGCACCGCACTCAACTTTATTGGTTACACCCAAAAATTTAGTAGAAGGGCTCGCAGATACCTACTCATTCATCTTTATCCTTGTTACGTCATGGGACACATTCTGCTTCAGAACATCAACAGAGATCAGAGTCATTGCACCAGACAACAGAGGTATCGTCCGCAAAAAGTGTAAAATGACCAGATGTCATTCACTATGACCAGATCGTTAATATATATATTAATATGTATATCAGAAACAGAAGGGGCCCTAGAACAGATCCCAGTGGTACTCTATTACCGACTTTCAAGACCTACTCCTACTACCCGATACAACTACTGACTGCTGACAATCGTCCACATACGACTGAAACCACGCAAGTGAAAAGCCTTCAAATCCATACAACTCAAGCTTGCACAGTAGTAAGTATACTGTGATCCACGCAGTCGAAGGATTTGCTAAAATCACATAACACCGCTACCACGGCCCTACCATCATTAAGATCAATGTAAACCCGAGTTATAAAATCAAAAATAGCATCTTGAGTTCCCAGGAAGGTCCGAAATCCAAATTGCCTGAAGAGATAAGATTCTGTGAATGACGAAAACACTATATTCTTGACTACCTTTTCGATACCCTTAGATAAAGTCGAAAGCAAGGAAACAGAACGATAATTAGGTAGAAAGGTGTTTTATGTTTCATGCAACGCAACGGAAATGCTGTTTCAGAAACGCTCAGCAGCACAGAGTGAAACAAGAACAGAGGTTTCGGAGACAGTTGCTTTGAAGTAGTAGTATAGGTAAAATAGGTACCTAAATCATTATTCTCATCGGTTTTTCCAGTATAGGCACGTGACCATCAAGTAAAGGGATAGATAATTGTATTTTATGACTTTCTTATATCGTTGAACGTTGAACGGATTTTATAAACTTCTACAATCTCAAAAATAAATAAAGGAGGACGTCACTGGTTAGGTATAGTATAGGTAGCTTCCTCAATTATTGAAATCAAGGTTCACGTCACCTGTTGTCAACTATCAGTAAAAAATTGTCAAATAGTCTCACATCAAATTTTTAGTTGTTTAAAATTTTTGTCGAAAATGGCTCCAATAAAACGCAATAAAGACGCAAAGCTCGATGCACCGAAATGCCTCGTAACCCAATTCAAGAAAACGAAACCTTGCTCCAGCGGTAAGCGAACTTCCATGAGTTCCATGTCGAAAAGTCTACCTGAAAAGCGTGGAAGAAGGTATTCTCGAGAAAACTATAATTTTCATTTGGATAAATTGAAAAATGTTCGTTCGAAAAAACCCGAACCTAAAGCAGGAGAAAACTCTTACCACAGAGACCCAACTAGAAACAGAAACAATATCATACATAGATACATTTCCAGTAGCCTACAGAATCCTAGACATGATGATCTACAATCCATCTACAATGTTGTCTCAACAGCATTAGAATATGGCTGCGCCAATAACATTTTGGAAAAGCGTGGAAATTATTATTGTTTTAGCGAACAGCATGCTGCTCGAGGTCCAACAAGACTCTGTGAAAGTTGCGGCAGAATAATACGAATGCATAAAATGAATCGGGGAAAAATCGAACGCCGATATGGGCAATGCGTTAAAAAAAATTGTTGTTGTCATGGATATGGTACTGAATTTGAACCAATTTGCGGACCAAAGATGCCTATTTTTTGTTGTCCAAAATGTCGCGCTGTTGATCGCGTAGGTAAATGAAATATTTGTGTTTATTGCCAAATCCATTCTGTGATTATGAAATAAATACCTATGTAGGGATTACATTTTTTGAAGTTTTACTTATTAATATCTACCTGAAATAATCAGTGTTAGTGGAGAAAAGCTTCTGGAGATTACATTAGAAAAACAGTCGACTGTCCCTATTTATAAAAAAAAACACAGTTTTTGAAAAGCGTTTCTCTTTATACCTACCAGTGAACTCAAAAAGGTTGAAATAACTACATAAAAAATAATGAACTAAGCTTGTTTTATGTTTTATTTTTTTATTTTCTACTCAACTATTATATAGATCCATAATACCTATACTTTATTTTTTTCCAAGCTAGATTTTGGCATTGTCAATTTTGAAACATAAACAATGCCACTAATGCCGCTTATTGGTCGCTATTGTAAAACTGATGTCAACCTGCAGAAACACCTCATTTTGCGACCAATTAGGGTCAAGCGTTATTGTTTATGTTTCAAAGTTTTCAATGTCAAAATCTATCGTGGAAAAAAATAAAGTATAGTAAATGGAATACGTTAACATACCTATAACAACCTGAGGGCATTATAAGCCCAGCGGGTGTTATGATCTATAACGCCCGCTTATAATACCCTGAGGTGTTTTTGTTGTTGTTTTATTAATTTCCACTTTACCCTAGGCAGCCACTAATGTCCGACCGAAAATAATTTTCGGTCTGGCCAGGATTCGAACCCGGTTTACCATCAACGTTTCCTATGTAGTCGAGCGCGTTGACCCACACGACCACCGTTGCCTTGCCTTATGAGATGTTTATAGATATATTAATTTATTTCGTTTCTGGGTACAGGTACCATCGTCACCAAAAGTAACTGGGACAGCATCACATTAGCTCTTGTCCTATTATATGAATTTTATTGTCAAATATTTGTCAAACTGAAACTATGCATTAATTGCATTGAAATGAATGACAGTAGAATTAGTCCAGGAGATTATTATGCATTATTTGTGTCCCAGTTACTTTTGGTGACGATGGTACATGTCAAAATACAAAACCATATTCTGTCACACAAGTTTAACTGATTTTGTTTGATACTAAATTGATTAAAGAACATTGTGTTGAGTAGAAAATAAAGCATTGTATGCACCACGGAGATTCTGAGATTATAATGCCCTTCAGGCGAAATATATTCCTCGGGCCATTATAATCGACATAATCCCCTTGGTACATAGCTATTACGTTCAACTACCTGCTTTTTTTGAATAATTAAGTGGATTGTATGATTTGTAAAGGTACGGTATGTTAGCGCAGCGCGCGACGCACAACTCACAACGTAAACATCAGCAGAATCTATTTACCAGGATGTTGACATTGTACGTCGCGTGCAGAAAAAAAAAAATATAAATCGATTTTACAAAATTTTGATTTTTCCGAGGCACCTAATCGGAATTTTTTTGAGCACAAAACTGCGCAACTTTGCCTCAATAAACGAGATCTCTTAATAGGTATAGACTGTGAGATAGGGGCTGCTTAGTGGAGTCATTTTTTTTGTCTGGCATTTTGAGGGCGGGCTTCGAAAATTTGCAGAAGAAAAAAATTGATTTACATGAAGATTTTTTTTTAATGATCTCAAATTTTCTGGTTTTTAAATAAAAGATTGACATTGATAAATAATTCATCCATGAAAAATACCAGATGTTTTTCATTATCTGGAAAAATGGGAATGGGTTTCAACTTCCAAGAGAAACGAAAAGAACTTTCCGCGTTTACTTTTTGTCTGGCAATCGAGAGAATGAAAGGTTTTGTTGTGAAAATAACGCTGAAACATCGCCAGACGGTAATCACAGTTCGAAATCGAGTTTTCCGACGAAACTTTCTGTGGATATTTCGACCAGGGGGCAGGCATTAAAACCACTCATAATCTCATCAGCTAACTAGCCACATGCATCCCTCAAAATGCCAGACAAAAAAAAAATGACTCCACGAAACAGGCCCTATCTCAGGGTCTATTACCGAGATCTCTCCCTCACCATCTCAATTTGAGACAGTTTATTTATACATATACCTATATACATATATACCACCTTTCAATGCTTTTTGATAGGGAAAGGTGATAAATGTACCTGCACCTGTGGACATCGGATTGTGAACAGGATATATGTAGCGTAGTATATACAGGGTGTCCCAGGGAAAACAGTATACCCCGATTTATTGAGTTTGGGATGAGAATCTGGGAAAACGCTCGGACACGTCGATGTTTGATTTGAAGGGGAACTATTTTTCAGTTTTTTTCATCCCCGTAGCTTCAACCCCCTAGCTAGGGGGAGAACAACCCCCCAAATTTGAATAGGGGATAGGGGTCGTGTTATACCTCTTTTTAAAGGTCTCATCGAGTTCTTTATCGCCCTAGAATTTAATCTTATTATTTTCATCCGTAACGAAATGACAGCTTGTTAAAATCTTGGAAATCGACTATGTTTTAGTAGGAGTAAGAGCGGTACTTACCTCCCTTAATAAAAATACGAGTAAAAATACCTACAATTTACAATTCTCGTGTACACCTCATGAATAATAATAAGAAAAAACTTCATATCAAGTATTTTTATTAAGGACGGTAAGTATCTCTTTTACTCCCACTAAAACCTATAGTCTATTTCCAAGATTTTGACAAGCTGTCATTTCGTTACGGATGAAAATAATGAGACAAAATTCTAGGGGCATAAAGAACTCGATGAGACCTTCAAGAGATATGACATGACCCCTATCCCCTATTCAAATTTGGGAGGTTGTTCTCCCCCTAGCTAGGGGGTTGAAGCTACGGGGATGAAAAAAACTGAAAAATAGTTCCCCCTCAAATCAAAAATCGACGTGTCCGACCGTTTCTCCAGATTGTGTTTACGACCGTCCGCAGCCGTTTGAACACCTGTCGCTGTCGTTTTTTCGACGACTTTGACATTCTTTGAGTTTGTTCACATCCGTACTTTTTATGATTTTATAGACTTAAGCCTGGTCCAGACTTTACTGATTCCTGATCACGTGTTGAACTGTGCAGACAAAACTTTATGCTGCTGGATCGCGCTTTTAAATGTATCGTCGAGCGTTGGTTATTAATAGATTTTTCTGGAATCGAAACAATAATACTAGTATTGTTCCGATTTTATGAAAAGAAAACATCTATTTCAAAAAACCCGTCCAGGAAAAACTAAAAATATATTCCAACATAAAAAATAGAAGAAAAATTAAGTAAAATAAAAACAAAAATTCTAAACAGATAATCTATCTAATGAAGCAAATGAGCAAATGTTCAAACAGTCCACCTTCTTGAAGAAGGCTCTACAAACATTATTTAACATCACCGGGGTGACAGAAACGCAGCTGCTCAAGTTTCACAGCGTGATCCTCTTGAAAACCATCATACATTTTTTAATTTGCAATAAAGAAAATAATCGTTGGGTGCAAGATCGGGAGAGCAGGCTGGCCACAGTATTGTAGTTCTTGACCCAGCAATGAGACGATTTGGAATTTTGGAAAAGTATTATTCAAACAGCCCAGAATGAAACACGTATTATGGGCTGGCTGGACAACCATCTTGTTGAAACTATGTTTCGTTGAATCTAGGACCAGCTATTATTATTATTATTATCTATTTCCTCTAATTTCTGGAACTATTATTTGCTATTGCAAAAGATTCAAATATTTTGGACCAGTTAAGCTCAACATAGCCAAACATTTCAAAAATTATAAAATGAAAATGCTTCCGGGATGCTAGGCAAACCTAAGCTGGGACAATTGAGGCCTTCGGTAGCAAAAAAGACAATGTAAAACAATTAATCACTGATTTTTAACAATTTACGACGCATGTGTCAAACGTAACGCAAGGAATGTATACATTGTAAATTTTGAAATGCTTGCGTTTTGCTGTGTTACGGTTGCGATACGGATAGTCGGATACGTTATGGAATTTATAAATCCCACTCAAACCCATTTTACAATGGACTTGACGTAACTGTAAAGACGTCACATAAGTCATAAGCACAGAACATATCACCTATAGAAAAATGTCTCAAATGGGAGACTCGCGACGAAGGTTTTTAGTTAGGTTTTCAGTCAACGATGGCGACACTGTCGGGAGATAAAAGAAATTTGCAGGTTTCTGTTGACAGTGATTTGTGTTGGTTGGTTTTGTCGTATCGCATTTGTCATTTTGAAATTCAAAAATTCAAAATTTGAATTTTAAAAGCGTTAAAGTCCGTTGAAAAAAACCCTCATTTCTGTACGTATTTTTTTTGTATTTAGTCGTTTGTATCGTTTCGTTCTTATTTGTATTTAGTATTCGTATTTATTTTGCGTTAAAATGTCTCTTATGTTTGGTAAAAAGAAACCGTCCAAAGTAAAATTGAAGTGTTGCGTTCCAAATTGTGAAGATAAATATAGCAGTCGTTTTCGTTTTCCAAATCCGAGAAATGTACTTAATATGGCAATCATTGAAAAATGGATCGCAAATATCAACAATCCTTCCTTAGCTAATCGTAGTTACGACGAAATACATAAAAAAATCCGTATATGTGCGAGACATTTTCCAGCAGAAACTTTTTTACATGGTTGTAGAAAAGGGATTTCAGATGATGCCCTTCCAATCTTACATATGAATAATAAAAATGGTAAGTACCTGATACTGGGGACCTGATAAGATCCTCCACCTTCCAAAAATTGGTTGGCTTTAGCAAAGTCTAATAGACTAGTATTTTAGGAATTGGAAAACACTTTCAATTAAATATCGACTTTTCTTTATTAGCTTCATATCAAAATGATGATTCTCAAATCATAAAAAAACCAAGGCTGGATTGTGCTATAATGGAAAAATCTTCAGATATTGTTTTAGAGCAGTATGGCCAACAATCACCTCAGGAACAAGTGCCAAGCACCTCGAGTTTCTGTAGAACTGGTCAATTTTCCGAAATAGATCCCACACCACTCTTTTCAGCGACTCACCCCCCATCGGCCCGTTTAAAAGTAACTGGAAGCTGTGAGTTTCATTTCCCAAATATTTGTTATTTATTATATTTTTAATTACATAATTCACACTCTTAGATCGCAAGAAAGGATCTATTTTGAAGCAATTTGGCGTCACAAGACAAAAGTGTCTTACTCCCAGGGCTAAGCTCCTTTACAAAAAAGTGGTGGAATCCAGCAACAAGCTAGGGCGGTTAAGCAAAAGGATGACTTCTTT